CAGTTAAGAAAGAGTTTAAATGTCTGGGTATCAGGAAAGGAGCCAGTTTATAAAGACTAGAGAAACAGGCCAAGTTCTGTTCTCAGGATGAAGTTCACAGCAGTGGAATGTCTATGAATCTCCTAAAATAAAGCTAGGTTGGCATTTGCAGTCTTGGCTTGGACTCTACATAATAACCAGCTTCTCTTTCAGTGGGATTTGGAAGCAAAATCTGCAGCAGAATAATTGCCAGCATATTTTGCTGTAGATTTCCTGTATCTGTATTTTTGTGAACCCTTTCAACCTGCTAGTGGTCCAAATATACTGTAAAATCCAGAATGATGTACTAAACAGTACATTAGTTTAGAAAGTCATTACAAATGGACTGATTTCTGCAGTACAAGAAATATGTCCTGACCTCTAATGTCTTCTAACAGAAATCTTATTTTCCTCATTGACCACTCTCATTCCTAAAGTTCAGTGCTGCAAACATGAGTCTCTCAACAGCCAAGTGCCCTGTTCTGCCTTTCCTAACAGCCATTTACAACATTTTGAATTTACAGGACATTTTGATTCCAGACCTGACACACCAGGATTCATCTCAATCCCTGTACTAATATAGGAGAAGTAAGAAAATTATTTTCAAGGATGAAAAAAAAAAAAAAGGTGATGAATGTGGAGGTAATGAAAGACAGCTGAGCTTGCAGTGACCCCAAGAAAGGATGTTTCCAGCAGGCTGACAAGCCTGCAGAGCTCCCATTAATAGTGCAAGTTATGCACATGTAGAGGGGGGAAATGGGCTCCAATTAATGTGTTTATAGAGGAAAATGCTGCTTCCAGTACACTGTTCCCCAGCTGAGCTGAGAGTGACTTCCCAAGATAAGACCCTGCTGTTACTCAGCTTCTAAATAAGGGAAGAGGAGATTGGGCCATGGGAGTTCAGATGGCGAAGGGAATTTGCCGTGGAGAATTCCAAGTGCTTACCTTGCAGTTCAGCCGTTCACCTGGTTTCTGGGGCTTTCTTATTTACTGGAAATTTAACAAACCTTGTCCTCTGTTGATAAGGAGTTTTAGTGCTCAGCTTAGTCCACCCATTTCCCCTGTGCCGCCCCCGAGCTTTTATAACGTCACATTTATTTTGGAGGCTACGATATATTTGTTTGTAAGCCCTCACGCTGGGCAGCAGTGCATGTTAATTCCTGAAGCCTGACAGAATGTAAAATTACAACACAACAATACGAATGTAGTCCCTGTACTGATGTATAATTAAAGCATGGTCATCCAGGGAAACTTGAGTTCCCCTCTTCAGGGAAACCTTTTGTAATTCAGAGCAGTTAAAACCACTAGTTAATTCTCTCTCCAGTATCTTCTCTTAGATAGGTATCTTGGGAAGGATCTCTGATGTGGGCACATAGTATGATCTGCATCTATTCCACCTCAGGCTCTGATTTCACAAGCTTAACAAAGCTGGATTCACTCCATACTGGATTAACAGACTTCTAGCAAAAACAACTTGTGCTACAGGAAATGTGGTGGGTGACATAACAGGTTCAACTTGGTCCTGATCACATCCAGTCATCAGAGAATTCCTTGGTACTTTCAGTAGGAACAGGGTGCCACACACTCTCTTCTGAGTGGATCTTTTTGGATTCTCTTCATCAAAATGGGTGAAGTTACACTGTGCCTGCTCAAGCTTCTTTGTAGCTTCCCTTATATTAACTGTTCTTTCCCATTTCCTATCCTGGGCTGCTAAATTTATGCAGCCATTGTGCCTCATCTAAAGCCGAGATTAAGAAGTATGTGAGATGGTCTAGAATAGACAAATAAGAGAAGTATAAGAACAAATTGAAATTTGTCTCCTCTATTTCTAAAAGCAAATCACATCTCTCAAAACAACAACAACAAAAAGAATGGGATAGACCCCTTCTTTCAGAATGATGGTGTGAGCTGGGGGTAAAGGTGTGTGCAACCACCTCACCTGCTGCCAAGGGACTGTGCTTAGTTATGGAATGCACCTTATGTGCACATGAGGCACAAAGGATAGATTCTGCTTAAATTCCAGCTTCCATGATGTACATTAAGGGCTTGTCCCAACCTGCTGCAAAAGAGGTAAATGTCTGCAGGAGTATTTTGCAGACAGGGGTAGGAATTCAATGACTGATTAGAAATGGCTAATTTTTTATGTCTTTTTTTAGTGACACAAACTCAGTTTTAACCTCAGGGCAACAGAATCCCACTGTATAAGGGATCTGCTGTTCCCAGCCTCTACTATTCACCATTCTGGCCCATATTCTTGAAGGCCTGTGTTTGCTGACCATAATTGTTTATCTGAACAAGCCCATACAAGCTGTGGAGGCAGACACAAGAGGCTACATGAAGCAGAGGTGCAATGGCATTTATCCTCCTTTGTGCTATGCCCAGAGATTGGTGGGCAAATGATACAAGGGAAAAATAGTCCTTCTGTTTCATTCTTTTTAATATATCTTAGTATTCCCTTTCTTTTAATTGTACAGTCATCTGGATGAAGAGTTCACCTGGTATGAATGCAGTGACTTTGGTTCACACAGGTGGAGCACCAGGTTACAACAGGGAAGTTTCAAGGAGTAAAGAAAGAGGAGGAAATAGAAGTAGTTCATGGTGTATCACATATTTTAAAAAAACAGACACTTCCAAGGGTGTCAGAACTGTTCCCCTTTCTTTGCTCTGACTCTTCAAATTTCTCCTCTTGCACCAAAATAGACTATTTGTTTATTACAGCAGGAACTAATATTTTCCCTGTAGCCAGTTAAAAGAAATACATCCTCTTTGTGGCTTTGAAAATCCCTACAGGATTATGAATGAATACTTCAAGAGTGTATTATAAATTCAGACATGTCTATTGGGCTTTCAAGTATCACAGCGGGAGCTTCTTACTGAGGCAACCTGAGGGTAAAGGCTTTCCCACCTTTCCAAAGTGACTCCTCCCACAAAATTTTCTTGGGCTGAAGTTTAAAAAAAAAACCCACCACCCTACCTAGTTGAGCTTCTTAGAGCTACTTCATTCTAAGCAGAGCTGAATATAGATATAATTTAGTACAATCACATAGCCAGACGTTGCTCTGGAGCCTGCTCAGTTTTCCTGCCACACACGGCACCTCGCACACTGTTTAATGTAGGTTGTTCTTTCTGAAACCAATGTGCTTTTTATTTTAAAGTCTGAGCAGGCTGGTTAAAAAAAAAAAAAAAAGAAAACCAAAAACCTTGTTTTCCAGCACGTGCTGCCCTAGATGTGCTGTGAGCACCTGTCATTATCTCCTCCAAACTCTGCTGTTGCTCCTCTTGCCAACTGGCAGCGCCACAGCGTTGTGACAGCGATTACAAAGTAGGATTAGACATAGCCCATTTCTCCCATCCCCTGCTGCGAGTGCTGAACCAGCAACTTTGCCATGTTTTGATCAGATGCACTCGGCACTGACATATAAATCAGGGACACTGCTAAAGGGAGAGGGGAGGAATCGGCAGCAAAGAGGCAAAATCAAGGGCAACTCGGAAGGAAAAAAACGGGACTAAAGGGAGTTTTAAAAGCACATGGCTTTGAATCTATATGTGCTTACTGCTAAAGGGGATGACGGGTGTTGCTTTCAAAAGAATTCACACTTTTTCAGGCTTTTCAATGCACATCACCCCAGTAAGAAACTCCAGTGGGCTGAACCTCAAAATTAACTGCGAGATGAAAACGAGTTTTAACTGGAAAACTGAAGGGTAGTTGTTAAGAAGTCCTGTCAGACAGTCTTTGAAATTTAAGAACCACCTGCAGCAACTGGTGTAGGTGGTACTTGTAACACTATGCATGATGCTGACTTAATGGCTCAGCAGATGTGCATGGGTGTAACTTCTTCAGAAAGACTACCAGAGAGGCTCAAAGACATAAATACTCTATCTTTGTGGATGTCAGCTAAAAATACAAGACATTATCAGGGAAATGTCAAAGAGGATGGAGATCTTCCAAGGATTTTACTCGATCTGTTAAATATCAGGGAAGAAAAGCTGGTGTCAAGGTGCTCCAGTGTTGTAGCAACGGAGGAAGATTTGGAACCAGCAACTGTTCTTACAACATACAGGACAGAGAGCGAGAAGATGTGGAAACATGTTGTGTCTGATCCTGTTTAGTGCCCAAGTGTGCATTCCCAACCCTTTATAGCAGTTTTGTGGAAGCAGAAGCCATTAAAGAAATGGTCTTTCAAAAGAAACACTCAGAGGAAGAGGCATGAAGAAAACTTCCAAAACAAGACATACTCGTTCCTGCATTATATTGCTGTGCCATTTATCATACTGCAATTAGAGTAAAATCTAAGTACCTGTAGAAATTTTGACTAAACTCTCACTTAAACACACAAAACCCCATGGCAGCAGAAGAAAAACCCTACCATTTCATCTAAGCTTAACCAGTAGACAAAAGCCTACCCTTAGTTATTCCATTTTGTAGTGAACTTCTTGGTCTGAATGCAAGATTTTACATTTCCATTGGTGAAACTGGAGACCAGCTTTGTCTGATGCTCCCTGTCTGGCTTATTAAACCTGTTAATCTCTACTTATAACTATAAATATAGAGATCATACCCCAGGTTAAGCATTTTCTAAAATTCCCTGGTGCAGACTCACACGGTACAATATAACCCTTAGTTTTAGTTGGCAAATATAACAGAAACAAGAATAAAAGCAATAAGATCTTAAGCACTTGAAAAAACAAGATTGTTATCTCCGGCTTTCGATTGCTACCAGTGAGAGAAGTAGCCAGCAATATGTAGGTCATCATCAGTAGCTGCTTTGGTAGTCTGAGAACAGTTTAAAGGAAGGAAGAGGTTTCTCTTTGTGGTTGAATAAGTTACTCTATACCCACGAAGTAGCTGTGTCTCACCCCCAAAGGGAGCAGCATTATCAGCAAATGAATGAACAGGGCATTCTGTGTTATGCCAGTAGCACTGTCTTTGAAAACAAGGGAGACAAGAAAAGTAGGTTCAGTGTGGCTTTTATTTTCCTGTCTACCATTGTAATGGGGCTCCTCCATTAACTCCTTCTTGTCAGGCTGAATTGAAAGTCACAGTTAATAACTTACAGCAGCATCTGCTCACCCTTGGTGCAACAGAGCCCTGCAGTGCCCTTGGTGTGGAGAGACCTGGTCTCTGGGAAGAGATGTGATCTCATACTATTGGAGTCCTCAGGACAGCTGAAATGAAAACAAGGATGTGTTCTTAAACCAATCAGCTCTTCTTTAGGTCACCTGGAAACTCCAGGTCACACTGCTGCAGTGGTGAAAAATCTGGTGGATAAAAGTGTTCTGCTTCAACTAAGTTATCAAACCTTCAGTCCTTACTGATACCACCCCACTCACTTAATTAAGCTGCACTGAGTTTTCCCAGCAGACAGGAGCTGGATCTGAGCTAGAAAAGTAATGAATATTTTTATTTCCCAGCCATGTGCAATGACTGATCTGGATGATTGCCTCTTCTGCAGTGCGGGAATTCGGCAGCTCCCACCAGGGACAGGGAACACTCCACTCCAGGCCCTGTGGTGGCACCAGTACTGTGGTGTGGCTGTGCCAGGCAGTGATCCACCATCTGGAGACCTGTGTCACACTGTCCTGACTGTGCAGGGCTGGGTCCTGGGCAGGCATGTCACCTGGCAGTGAGTGTTTCAACCTTGTCCTAATTATCTTTCTAATCCCTTAGACAAATTATATCATTACCATGGTATATTACACTATCTCCTTGAATGTGTTCTAGCCTAGACAAAATTACTGCAGCTTATACATTGCTCTACCTGGCTGAGCTGTGCAAGCAAAACTCTTACACCTCTCTGAAACCTGCACTTGGGCTTTTCCATGAAACCTCTCAGTGCTCAAGTCCAAGTAACAGATCCACAATTGATTGCAAAGCGTGCTTGGATTAAGTCATTATCTACCATTTCATAATGAGATATATCACACCCCTCAGTCAAACTGTTTAGCATTAACATTTGTTCATATCATCACTCTTTTAGTAGTTTTCAAACATCAGAGACTGTTGGTGCCAAATATTTTTCGTCCTTCCATCAGTGTGTAGGACAGGAGCTTTTGGAACACTTCCTTTATTCCCCTCTGTCAGGTAGGACAAATTCTGCCTTTAATCATACCTTAATCTCAATGAATGTTTATGTCTGGAGTGCTGACGTCTCCCAGTATTGCCACAGTGATTGTTTCACAAACCATTTGGCTGGGTCTTTTCCTGTTGTCATGTTGCCATTTTTTGTGATGTGATTTTTCCCTTTCATCTTCACCTGTGCCCTTTTCTGAATGGAGTGCAAGGAAAAAAAAAAACCTCAAAAGTAGGACATATTTTCCTAATGCTAATCTTTACTGTTTCACTTTTCTTTCCTTCCTTTTCCATCCCTTCCCTTATTTCACTAGATTCTTTTGCAGTGGCCTAGATTTAACATCCTTTTACAGCTGATTCTTGCAGCTGCAAAGCCCTGCTAATATCACATTGTACTAGTGAGAAAAAAAATATTTAGGGCAGGGACAGTCTGTTTGGTCTATGTTAGCACACAGATGTCTTGAGACAGAACTGGAACTCAGAGGTACTGCCACAATGTGAATGGTAGCAGGAGAGCCAAACATACCTATATCCACACCTCTGGAATGGATAGAGAGAGGGGAAGGTAAATGCATGTACAGTGTGAATGGAAGCTCTCTGTTTACTCACTTTATTACTGATCCATAATGACCCTACTCCCCTTTATTTTTTCGGAGGTCACCTGCTTCCTTACTTGCCCTTCTATAACCCCTGTCCTCAACCTTTAATATTTTTGCTCCTGAGTTATCGGTGTATTGTTCACAGCTACTCACCGTAGCAGAAGGTAACAATGACAGTGATCCATTGAAAAAACTCTTAAAATTGTTACCCAAAAATTCTAGTGTTCCAAAGCAGCCTAAAGAGGACAATTCCCAAACATGGCAGCGTGAGGCTATGCATGAGTCTGTTTTTCTGTTCCCCCAACCACAAATCCAGCAGAAGAGATTCCTGGTTTCCCTTCCAAAAAGCCACTAATTTCTGAGTGTTTGTCATAAATTACCATCTGTTCCCTTTTGCTGATTCAGTGTTTGGATGGTTGCTCTCTATACCAGACCTTGTATCAAATTTGAAAGCAAAACCAACGAAAAACAAACCTTGCATCTACTTTTTCCTCAGTTTCTATTTTTAAACCAGAAAATGTCACGGTTCTGCTTCTGGACACAACCAAAATAAAGCAGTGATTCAGAAGAAAACAATAAAGGGGCCAAGAATAAGCAGGAATGAGAATTTCTGCAATCTAACAAGACAGAGAACCACAGGCTAACAGTATGTGGAGGCAAAAAAAAAAGGAAGCCTTGTCTGAAGAACTTGCAAGTAACTAAAGAGCTGTGGTTCCCCTCAGTTGAGTGACTGTATCATCAAAGGGCTTTTTGCATCCATAGCATCCAACAAACTGGTTTGAAAGTCTCAGGAATTTAGATAGCATCCTCTTCTTGGATTCTGAGTGGGGCCTGCTGGATGTGACACTGAGCTTTGTTCCCTGGTAAGCTAAAGACCCTTTTCTCTGTTTAAGTGTGTGTGTGTGTGAGCCTGAGTGGCTGTGTCAGAATGGATGATCTCAGCTTCTTGAGTGGCTTTAATTGTATGGGCTAATCATCCCTTACAGGCTGATTTCATTTATTCTGTCGGAGCCTCTATGTAGCACAAACAATGCAAGAATAAATAAACACAAATATTAATCATTCCTGGTATCCTAACTGTTGACTGTTGCAGGGGACCAATGTGAAAATGCTGACAAGGGAGGGTTGGAAAGAGACATTTGTCTCCATTGGCATCATTTCTCTGTGCTAAATTATTTTGGACAAAGGAACATTTAATCCTTAGGGCTCATATATCTGAAAAGCATCTGATTCATGTCTGAAATGGGGTGGACAGGACAGGCACTCAGCACTTTCAGAATATTTGCAAGGAGAGAATAGATCTGTCCCCATTTCAGAGTGTGATCAGAAAACCTCAGATTAATCCCCCTGGGGACTCAGACTGTCTGTACCAGAGTGGGTAAGTCATTAATTACTTTCCAAGTATTTTGCATTGTTACATGGAGAAAACCTTTTGAATCTCTGCTCTCAGAATGGTTTGTTCACTTGTTCTTTCACCCAGGCTGCATGTGTGAAATACAGGTTTGTGCATGACAGCAAGGACTTTTTGGCAGGTATATCACACCTACCGTAACATGTACCTTGCTGACTATTATTAGAATGATTTAGGAAACAGATTAATCAAAGCAATTTAAAGTGATGTTTGCCAATAAGGATCAGAAGCCTGTTAAACCACCTATAAGAACAGCCACTTTGAGCCCCTGCCATTTACTGTCTGACTCCATCCGACTTCCACTTCTCTCCAAACACTCCAGAAACTTAATCCCCCTCCTCCCAGGCATAGCCCAGATGTGCAGCTTCTCTTCCTGGGCAGCAGGAGGAGGTAGGGCTCAAATACATTTGCCTGCAGTGGTGTCTCACTGTACTTGCTTGCACTTGTCTCTCCAGATGTACAGCTGAGCAGAGACAGTGGTGGTTAATAATACAATTTCTTCCACAAACAGAAACATATTTTGCCTGTAAACAGCTGGAACTACTCTGTCTCCAGCAGAATTGCACAAGAAGAGAGATATCCCAAAAGCAAAGCTAGAGAGTTCACAGCTTAAACTACAATAAGGATTTGCTAACTACTTCTGATTTTAACTCAAAGGTTGAACTAATGAAATACTTTTGCATTAATAACCTCGTTTTAACTAAAGGGGAAAAAAATGAAGTGAAATCATTTGTGTTCATCAGGTTAGTATTTAAATTGTTTTAATTAGATTTTGAAGTTCATGTGTAGCTCTCAGTAAGAGATGGCCATGTCTCCATTTTTGTGGGATTCCTTCTAATTTTTTAATTTAGACTATGGAGGGGCTAACACAGGAGCAGATGTGTTTACACTGCAACAGCTACTCTTTGGTAACAATGCTGAATTCAGAGTCAATAAGAGCTTGGAATTTGCTGAAGACTGAAAAGTACAGATGAATTATCAAATTACTGTAGAAATCTACAATATTTGTCCCTTACAGGGTTTTTTGTTATCTTTCTTGATATTTTTTTCTGGTACTAATGTTCTCAGGGAAAAAAAAAAAAACAAACAGAACCAAAACCTTGAAACTTCCAGTTTTCTGTCTTTTGTTTTCCCCTTTTTTCCCCCAGAATGAGCAAAAACCAAGCCCTGTCCCTGTCTCCATATTGCCTCCCTCATCACCAGCACCAACACCTCGAGGTAAAACCAACTCCAACCCTTGCAGTATCTCCCACTACCAAACCAAGCCACACCTTAAATCCTTTTCCACAATACACCCTATTTTCTCTCATTAGCTTTATGATTCCTCACAACAGCTTTCTCCCACTTTCCCCAGCTACTTTGGCTTGCCCTCCTGGATGAGCAAGGAATAGGAAAAGCTTTGACAGGCTTGAATTGGCACTGGTTACCAACAGGTATGTGCTGCCAGGCCGTGAGCTACGCCTGTGCTACCAGGCTGAGCATGTGAGAGCAGAGCCTGCCCTGCCTTCCCTCCCTGGCTGCTGAACTCCTCAAACGTGTCAGAATATAAGTGCTTCAGATCTTCACCCCTCTTTTAAGTTCAGTGGAAATGAGCTGATAGGGTGAGCAGAAATATAAGGAGGGAACAGATTAGCACTGTGAACATCTAAGCTTTATTTCCTAACAAGTTAAAAATGAGTCTGAAGGGTTTTGTCTACCCTTTAAGGCTTACAATTAGAATGGCTAACTTCTTCCCATATAATATCTGTTCTGTTTCTCCTCTGTATTTATATGGTCTCCATTACCATCACAGGAGCATCCTCACATCCTTTTAGGGATGTGATTCCCCCGTCTCGCTCCAGTGAAGATGAACTGTCAGCCCAATTTTAAATGCAGGAATTGGGCCAGAGACAGACTAAGTCCTTAGTGCAGAAAGGAAGGTCTAAGCAAAGGGGCATCTGCATTGCAACACACAGCACTGTAGCACTTCACTGCCTGTAAAACCTTAAAGCCTTGTGCTTTAAAAGCTTAAAGCTGGTGTTTTTAAGGTAAAACCTTGTGCTGCAGCCACCATCTCCCAGAGAACAGCCCTGTCTGCTGTGCCAAAGTCATGCTGAAGAGCAAAACTGTAAAGGTAACCAGATCAGCTCCCGGGTTTGCTTTCTTGCTCCCCTCCTCATTCTCCTTTTTTTTCCCGTCCCATTTCTATATTTTTCTGCTCTTTTCCTCTGTTTTTGCCCTTCTCTTATTAAACTCGGCAGTAAAAAGAGGCATTTCTTATATGTAGCACTCGAGAAAGAGCTTGTTTTAACAGAGCTTGACTCAGAACCTTCCTGCTCACATCTGTGGCTCCACAAAGGCAGGAAAAACTTCCCAGGAATTGTTTTCTTGAACTGTTTCATACTCATAGTAAATCAGTGGCTCTCCCTTGCCTATGGAGCTCTTTATTCAGACTTCCTGGCCTGCCACCTTCGAGGCTGGATTGACCATTCTTTGAAAAAAAGTTTATACCTTGATAAACAAAATGCACCTGACTGTTATTACAGATATAGGCAAGTAAACAAAATATTTTTCTTCTGTTAAAGAGGTTTAACTGTGTAATCAAAAGTAATTCAGTACCTGTTTAGCCTTGGTGCTGGCTAACAAAAGGCAGATTCCACGCCCTAGTGGAAGAAAGATCAAAGGCTTTTTTTGGCATTAATGAATGTTAGGTAAAACCCCCAAATATTTAATCAAGAGGGAACAAAACCTTAAGACTCATGCAGCTGTGAGCATTTTTTACAAATTTTCATAGTTTATATTTGAATCCTATCTAAAGGTTTGTCACCATACAGATGAACAGGATTAAAGTCAGGTGGAAAAGGGTGGGATTTTCAAAGCATTTTTAAAACTGTCATAGACACAAATGGGGCCCAGGTTGGGGCAATAGAGGGGGAAGAGCTATTACAGGCTGTCACTTCTGAAAAAGCATTTAGTGTGATGGAGTGTGATTATGACTCAGAAACACAATGAATGCTTTAGAGGGAGGCAAAAAGAAAAGGATGCACCTGACTGGTTTTGTAAAGGCTGGTTACAAGTGATACAATAATTCTTTCACAACCAAAGTGGCAATCAGCTGATATCCTGAACCAGAAGATTTGATTGCCCAGCTTAGAAAACACAATGCCACTTGTCACACAATTACCCTAAATCATTATAATAATGTATTATTTTCATTGCAGTTATGATTGAGAGCCTTGGTGATGGATCAGAATCCACTTTGCAATGACCCAGCACATACAAAAAATTCAGGGGTTCTTTCCCCAGAGAGTTTACGGGAGATAATGGGCAGGAAAAACACACACAACCTGGCCACTGATACTGGTCAGCACAACAAGAAACAATCCTATCACACCAGGTGTTTAACCAATGCTACTCTTGTACAGACATCACAGCAGAGGAGGCATTTTAAAGGGTATTACAAGGATTACAGTGCAAATACTTAGGAGATGTTTCAGAGATGCTCCACCTGTACACAGAGGCAACACAAACAAAGCAAAGGGGCTTAACTGAAAAATAATAATTAAGTGATAGGGGTGACATCAAAAGGAGCAGTTGTGGATATGACACCCAGCTAGTGCGTGAGAGAGGTTGGGTAACAAAAGCCACAAAGAGCCTTGGGAGTATTTGAGGTGGTGGAGAAGGGGCACCTTGCAAAGGCAACACACAGGCAGATCATGCCACAACACAATCCAGCCAAGAAACTGGGAAGATAATCTCTGCAGCAACGTGTTGATGGTAAAGTGGAGATAAGATGGAATTCCTTGGTGTTGGCAGAAGGAGGTTCTACCTTCTAAGATACAATATGAGGAATCTGCATTTCACACGTATATAGAGGAGGAAAAAAGGATTTTAGATGTGCTTTGCAAGCAGAAGATTTTAGCCTTTCCCTACAGCTTGGATGTGATGATCTACAGAGAAAAAAAAGGCAAAAACAGAGTTCAGGTTGTTTACCCAAAGGTTGGTAAGGATGGGAAAAAAAAAAAAGAAAAAAGAAGTTTCCAGGCAATCTATCATCAGAAATCACCGTGGAGATTTCTGCTTGGATAGGAGGGGAGTTTCCTTTGTAAAAGCTAAAAAGAAAAATAAGGCCAAAAATTAGCATTCTGTTTAAAAAAAAAACCCAAAGCAATACATCAGTTTTTAAAAGAAAAAAAAATAAAATGGAATCAGTTAGGAGATCATGGTGGCCATTTCTGGTTTGGCCACTCAGCCTTAGCAATGCCAGTTGCCACCTTTCTCTCCATCACAGAACGATTGTTTACACTTGTGCAAAATCATTAATTGCAACAGAACCTTTCAAGTGCTGATGAGATCAGTGTAACACAGGGCTATTACTGAAAGTATAACCTTGCATGTGAGGCTTTAATTACAGTGATGATGCACGACATGGAGAGAATCCTGCTTACTTCTCCCGGTCCAAACAGCACGGGGAGGACTGGCATTAAAAGTTAAAAAAGCATTGTTTAACTGGGCCACTGGTGCATTTACTGTGGAAATCAATAAGCCAGGAAAAAAAAAAATCAGAAGATTCTACGAAATTTCTAAGTGTCTGCTTTCAAAGTAAACCACGTGAAAATTTCATTTAAATATTTTGGAGTGAAATGTTCAGGTGATGAAAATTGGGGAACCTCCTACAAAATCAACAAAGTTTGCATCAGTTGAATATGCTTTGGTTACCTCTGCACCTGCGTCTTTTTTTTTCTTAATATAGCTGAAAACCAGTATTATTTATGTAGACTCCATAATGCCACATTATTATTTCATCTACCAGGTGATTTCTCAGTTAATGTGGATAAAACCAACAAAAAATTAACCGCTAGAAAAATCTTGTTTAACAAATACTTTGGTGAAGTGCTCAGCTTCTTAGAACACAGAGGATGCTGAGAATTTTTATTATTCATTATTAAGAATGATGAAAAGAAGAGACATCGCTCTCTTAATCCATCAAAGCCCAAAAGGAATTTGTGTCGTACAGAAAGGGAATAGAAAAACTTAAGTCATATTCCCTAGAACGAGGTCAATCTTCATTCTTGGAGATCCAGAAAACTCACTTTGAAGCACATAATTATGTGTGGGAAACGATCTATAAAATTGCAGAAGCAGGAAAAAAAATCCCTCTCACGGAAGACAGAACACGTGCCAAGGTCTCAGCAGCTCTTGGGGTGTCTGTGGGGGTTGTACCCAGAGTTCAGCATTTTCAAAGAAAAGAAATATAAACATTCTTCCTGCACCTACAGAAACTCGCATCTGAATTTGTAATTGGGGCAATTACCAACTCATTTACCTGCCTGCATATGTAATTGGGCAATCTTGTAGTTGAACTTGCACTTCTGTGGCAGGACAGCCTTGCTGATGGTGTCCTGGACTTTCACTGCAATCCACCCAGGAGATCAAAGGACTGAGGGCCCAGAGGTTCCTGTAGCTGAGTCACCTGTTGAGTCTGTTGTGTCACAGAATTAGTCATTCCCACTTGGGAATGACTGCAGGAGCAGATATTGCCACGTTTACAGGCAGCAGAAAGGATGAGCTTCTGAAGGTTTCTACTGCAGGACAAAACTCAGTAGTGACTCAGAACCTGCACCCTGCTCTGTTAAATTCTACATCATCTGAGTTTAAAACCAACATAGCTGCAAAATGCCTCTTTTTAATCCAAAGAGAACCAGATCAATTGTTTAGTCTCATTCCAGTATTTGTTTCCAACAGTTCTTTCCCACAGGAGAAAGTCACTAGAAAAATGTGGAATCATCAGGTCCAGGGGCAGAGACAACCTTGCAATAGATGCTCCTCCAGAAGGGTCCACAAAACTGCTACTCCCTACATTTCACAGACACTTCCCACCCTCACACAGAGAAGTTTAGGCCTCAAGTAAAAGCCTGAAGGACACAATAATTACAATTAGAAAGGGGATAGAAAAGGTGAAGTGTATTACCAATGATCTGTGCCTCTGCTGAGAACAAATGTGTTTGTTAAACGACTCCAGCAAGAGTGTGCTGAACATAGAGGAGGGAAAAAAAAATTAAAAACCCCAATGATCTCTGCCAGTCCAACCAGAGAGAAAATTCCTTCTTTCCTGACCCCAAATCAGGCAATCAGCCTAAGTCTGGGTGTGGGAGCAAGACTCATCAGCCAGGCATGTGTAAGAGTTTAATACCACTTGCCAAATCCACCCTCAAGCTGTGGCCAACCTCCAGTGCTTCAGAAAATCATAGAAAAGAGGGTTTAGAAAGATGCAAAAAGAAATTTTGGGCTTTCCATAGGGCTCAGTTGTGATGAACTAGACAGAAAAAAAAAGTAAAAAATCCAGTTCACATTGTACACCCTGAGGACGACAATGTTTGCACTCCATTCTGTTTTCAGAAAAAAGAAAGGACCAGAGCTTTTAGGCAAACTGCAGAGAAACGTGATGAGATTCTAGTTTGGATAGGAAGGGAATGTCTTTTGTAAGAGCTAAAAAACCCACCCAAATCAGCAAGACAAAAAAAAAATTAATACTCGTGGGTTTAAAATAGGCAGTACAGCCCAAATTTAAAAGTAATAATAACCAAATAATGTGTTTTTCAGTGAGTTTTGATTACCCCCGAGAAAAAAAAAAGTACTCAAAGTACACATCAAAATTGAAAGCATCCTTTTGTCTGGTACAGTTACCTCGTGAGAATCCACACACCGTGGTGTTTGTAAAAAATAAACATGAAACGAAGCAGAGCTCAAGCAGCTTTTCAAACCCATTGGGGATAGCTGTGAATCAAACACTCATGGCTTAAAACACCAGGTGAAACACCTACCTCGAGCTTCCCTCCTGATCTGTGATCTCTGCTGTTCACTCACTGAGCTCGTTTCATTTTACCTCTTCAGCTTTGGAGCCTCACAATGGAAAACACTTCCAGCTTATAACAGCATCTCCCTGGGAAAAGCAGTTCCGAGGAAAGGCACACACATAGTTTATGAGAATGCTTTGCAGGGCCACTCTCAGCTATCAGAGGACATCCATAAGCCTTGTTGAAGCTGTTGGGATTACTTCCCAGTGATACTGCTGTAAGAAAGAAGGGAATCTGTCCTGTCAGCTCGAAAATGTGTGAATATTCTGCATGGTCCATTACTGAGTGAAGCTTTGCCAAGAGCTGGTTGGCCTTGATTTGCTCCAGCTGATGCACATCATCTCAAAAACTGGGTGGCCCAAGTACAACCCTTCACTGCTTTCTGATCAGTAACGTGGCTCACCTGAAGGTGGAATTGTTCTCTTAAAGCCTCACCAGAGGCCCCTTTGGCAGCTGAGTTCCTAGAAATCCAGCCTCATGTCTTCTGTGGCACTCTGGGGTTTTTAACCTGTTCATTTGTTAGTAAGGCAGAGGAGTGGAGTGTCACTGAGCAAATGGTGGTGCCACAGGAATTGATTTCAGTGGCTCCAAGTCACATCTGATGTCACAAACCAGCCACATCCCTCCTGCCCTCTGTAACAACATCAGCATGAACTGAGCACAGGAGACAGAGCAGCTGGACCCACGTTCCCTCGTTAAAAACATGCCCATTTCTTTTGGGTTTGCTCATCTTGTAGGGTGTACTTGTGGCCTGCCTTTTATCCCACCTGTGCATGGTCATTGTTGATAGAGCAGAATATTGATTACA